TTTAATTATATTAATATTTTGTTATTTTATTATATTATATTTTTATTTTATATTTTATTATTATAATTTTATTATATTAATATTTTGTTTCATATTAATTTTCATAATATTGTAAATTTAAATTCAACTTTTTTAAGTTTTGATCACGTGGTTTTATTTACATTCGATGATTTAATTCATATATATAGATACATATTCTTTAAAAATTTGACAAAATTGTAACATCACTACTTGTTTCTTACTCTCTGCTTGTTTATTGGCATGAACAACATACAGTTTTGTTCACAAATTCATTTATATATATTTCAACGGTTTTGTTTTTAAATGAATAATAAATGAATAACTTAAAGAGTGTATTTTCCACGATTTCAAGTGGACTGTGACAACTTTGTAACTTAACCTTATATTTCTAAAAAAATTTCAAAATTGTATTTTGTATATATTGAATATTTATGAATTTCTTTAAAATTTTCTCTTAAATTTATTGAAAATATCTCTTTCATATATTTTTTAAAAAAAGAGAATATATATTAATATTCTTCTATTCAATATAGATTTAAAATTAATTTCTAATATTTTTTTTTAAATCTGATAAATTTTTTTAATAAATTTTTTTATTATATGCTTGTTGTTTATTAATAAATATAGTCCTATTTAAAATATTGCATTCAAATAATATCAAAATTTAATTCATAGTACATATTTCTGAACTAATTTCAATTTATTATTCAAATAATATTATTCTTTAAAATATGAAAATAATAAAATATGAGAAAAGAATAATTGATTTCCTACCTTAAATAATTTTGTATTCTTATACATAATGACAAATAATTCTATTATTTGATATATTTTTAACATTTGTGAATCTATAATGTGAATATACAATAAAAAATCATAAAATAATAGCAAATACAAAAATAACTATATGGAAAAATTATACAACTTTTTGATATATTTTAAGATAATAATGAAAAATAATTTCTATTAAGAGACATAATAGTTAAAAGTTCTGATGAGTTACAAAAGCAATATATTTCATTGAATTATTTTCGTATTATATGATAATACATTATGCAAATATTTTTTTGAGATGAAAAAAATTTTTGTAATTAATTATTTCAATCAGATTTATTACAATAATAATGTGTATCGTTTGATTATCGTCTACCCCTTCCTCTTCCACGACCCCCTCGACCTCCTCTGGTACCACGACCTCCTCGACCTCGACCACGTACTGCTCCTAAAAATGATATAAACAAATTTTATTTAAGATGTATTTTTTATTCAAAACTCACTTTCCAAATAAATTATTTATTTTTTTACCAATATGTAAAACGTTTACAATTTATATTAATTACAATATAATATAAAATAATTTTATATATATATATGTATATATATACAAACCTCGTGCAGCCTCTTTCTTTTTTGCTTTTGCTTTTGGTGTGTCATCTATGAGTAACGTTTCAAGTGGTAATGAGTCTGGTAATATATAATACCTTATATTATTGCCTCGTAAACTTAATGTATCTAATTGTACAGGATCCCTATTTTTTATTGTCATTTTTACAGTTTTCAAATGCGTGTTCATTGCCACATCTACTCCTACAAATGAACACATAAGCTTATATTTTAAGAAAAATATAAACACATAAATTTTTTATAGGTTATGTTGACTTACCGGTAATAGTACCATGTACTTGAGTACCATTCTTTAATTCTATCGTTACAGTCTCATGACTGAGTTTCATTAAAAATCTGAAATTTTATACCAATTATTTTATACTTTATAAGAAAAAATTTTGACATCATATAATATAATATTAATCGCAATTTTTATAAATTTGATTAATTTTTCATAAAATTTTAATTTCATATAAATATTTATTATTTCTTAATAAATTATTATAAATAAATTAATTTACCTTACTAGTTTCATGATAATGTTGAATGTTTTTACGTTATCAAAAAATTACAATTTCAGTTTCATGCCGCGTTTTCTTACAA